ACCCTAACTACATAGGAAATAGTGTGGGGCTCTCCTGCCTTCAGTAGGCAATCCATAGGACCTAGGACCTCACTGGGGGAATAAAACACAAGATGATGCCTGGAAACCCCAAAAGCCCTATGGGAAAAAGGGGGGTCAGATGGCCCCTCAGCTGAGCAGCAGGTGTCTGAGGTTGCCCAGAAGGATGGGGGTGGGGTCACAGCTGGGGGTGGTATTTGTGCAGGCTGCTCTAGAAGCTCTAATGCTGTGCTAATATCCAGGCTGCACAGTAGTAGGTGGCTTCATCCTCCTTCTTCAAGAAATTTACTTTCAAGGTTGAAGTAGAAGTTAGAAAGTCTTGACCAGCCTCAATTTTCTTGTTCTTCCCATCTAAGTAGAGTTGATCGTAACTGTTCTTCACATATAGTAGATGCTCAAACTCTTGGTTGGTTTTCTGACGGTACCAGTGTATATATATATTGCCAAAATCTGAGAGAGAAACTTTGCAGGATATTTGGGCACTCTCACCTGTCAGTCCAGTGACTGACATTTCAGTTTGTTCCAGCTGCCCGAGTCCAACTGCAAGCAAAGAGAAAAAATCTCGTGAACAAACAGAACCTCTTTTGAAGAAGTGGAAATGAGGATGACCTCAAAGCCTCCTGCAGAAGAACATGTCTACTTACAAACCCAGAGGCAGGAGAAGGCGAATCCCCTCAGGAGCAGCATCCTAAAGGTCAGGCTGCTTCACCAGGAGGAGGAAGTGGTCTGTGAGCTGGAGTCTCAGGTTGCCAGCTGGGAGGTGGGGCTGTCCTAGTGTCTCAGGAAAGAAAATGCAGGGTCAGTGGATCCACCAGGGTTGGTCATGGTTTGCTCCAGTTCTCAGCAGCTCTGGGGCTTCCTGTCCCACAGGAGTGGGGCAGATGTGTATGTGGGTTAAAGGTCTGGAGAGGCAGCCTTTGTTTGCATTTCTTCATCTGGGTACAGAATGGGGAGAATGGACCCTGTCAGTCCTTCACTCTATAATAGTTATGCGCTTTCAGACTCTAAAATAAAACATTTGCTACATTCTGTGTGTTTTTTGTGATTGGCTATTGATTTAGGACCCAGATACAAAGGCTGACTGATGTTTTGCCAAAGAAGAAAGAAACCATAGGTATCATATTTAGCTGACTCTCTGTGCACAAGCAAATGATATTAGTTGTTCCTACCAACTTTTTACCAACTGCAAAAACACACAGGAGATTGTGACTTGAATAATTACATTTCATTTCTAATAACGGAACTTCAAAACAAACAAATAAAAAATTGAAATTCTTGACAGGTAATGACCAAGGTAATCCATTCAAAGTGTCATCTTCTCATGGTGCTCAGAGTCAGGAGTGTATATAAGGTAGAGACAGCTTAAGACAGCCATGATTAACATTCATTGATAGCTTAAAGGTTAACATCAGTGTTTCAGAGCCCTTGGAGATTGCCCAGACATTTGACAAGCTCTATTAAAAGACTTGCTTTAATGCTCTTGGTGGTCCAATGAAGTGGGTGCTGTGTTTTTCTCCATTACAAATGGAAACAGTGGAAAAGTAAAGTGAAATTACATATTTTTGAAAACTTCTTAAAATACTGGAAACTTCTTAAAACCAAGAGTTTTTAATTTTTTCTCTGTGAAAATGGAGGTGGTGAAAAAAGAAGGAATGAGATCTTTTGTTATTATGCACACACACCCAGGCACACTGAACATGTGTTAGTATTATCTGCACATATGGCTTCATATTCCCTTCCTTTGGTTGACTCACTGTGAAAAGCAGTATAGAGTTTTAAATAACAGATGTAAAAACTTAGTGAATGAAAACCAAGAGAAAAACATCACTATTTCTTTACCTTATAGATTACTGAGCAATTTTTTAAGCTTTGAATTCAGCATGTGTACTTTGTCTACATTTGAATTGTTAGGAGCAGTAAGAGGCTGACATCATTGAATGACACCATGCTATGACATAACATTGTCACAAATCAGGAATCTTCAGCGATGCCATCTAGTCCTAAAATTACTTTTATAATCAATAATAGAAAATGAAGCATTTGAAATTTATGTTTAAAATGCAGAGTGATGCATCGCTCTCTTATTTTTCCCAGAGTGCTGCCTTCTACAACCCCCTGTGGACCAATAATCACAGATGGGGAGTTTAACACCAGCCTTACACTCTACATTGAGTTATTCACTCTCCTTTTTAACCACAAATCCCTATGCGTGACCACATTCAGGGTCTTCTTCTGTTCCTCAAAATAAATCCTCAAAGTATCTCTATGGTGCACTTGTGTTTCATCTTCAGAGTTGCTTACTGCTGCGTGCTGGACAGACTCTGATGGAAGCTCTGCGTATTCCTAAGAGGACAAGTTCCAGACCTCATCAGTCAGAGCCCTGTTTG